TCCCCTGAAACTATCATTAGACATTAAGTTCACAAACCTCTATCACCCTAGCAGGTTTTTAATAGACCCTTATGGTATCCAGTCCCTTGCTGTCTTATCTCATTTCATTAATTACATTTCATGATCACTGAGGGTCAGGAGGTGGAGGAAGAACCAGCATCCAATTTCAGGGAGCAGCGGCAATCTCAGATATGGGCAAGCAAGATGATGCTAAAAAAAATCAATTCGGCAGTCAGCTGTGACACACAAATGGCTCCCAGTAATAGGGTGAGGATGAGCCAAATACAGATGCAGGTACGGAATGAAACATTTTGATCCCTCCATGTGTGGCAGTGCATTGGGATAGCTGCAGTGATTGTGGTGTAGCTTGCTATGGGTGGGGAGAAGTCACTGGGGAATCGCAGCCAAACATGGAGACTCTAGATAATTTGGGACTAAAATGCATGGACTGTTGCTTCTCAAAGTTGGTTTGTTAAGTGCTATAAGGCTTAGGTGAAGTAAAAAAAGGGACTCCCTTGGGGATGCTTGCGAAGAAGAGTAAGACCTCATTTATCTGGCAGCTTCAATTGTCCAGAGAACACAAATGAGATAAGTGAGCATAAGAGCCTCTGAACATGATGAAATAAACACCATGCCTCAAGGTTCATTGTTATTGGGAACAACATACCTCACAAAAAAGACTTTTCACACTTGCTTTAGGATCAAAGCTAATCGATTTGGTTATTTGATTTCCTGGTGTGGTAGTTCAGTTTCAAAAAAGGAGTCTATTTCTTCAACCCTTGAATCTAGTCCAGCTTAGTGACTTGTTTTAGCCAATAAAAGGCAACAGAAGTGACAGAATGCCAGTTCTAATCTGCAAGAGTTTTGCATGCTTCTGTTCTCTCTTGGAATCCCACTATCCCTATGTGGAAAAGGTCAAACTAGCCTGCTAGAGAGTGAGAGACCATGTTAAGGAGCTCCCAACTGTCCCAGCTGAGGCCATCCTAACCCAGCAGAAGCCAAACATGTGAGAGAGCCCCGCCAAGAGCAGCAGAGCTGCCTAGCCAACCCATAGCCACATAGAGAAACACGGCTGAGACCAGTGGAGCCAGGTGGCACATAGACATGTGAGCAATAGTGAAAGCCTATTTTTTAAGCCACTGAGTTTTGGGGTGTTTTGTTACTCAGCAACAGCTAACTGATACACATGGTCTGCTACAGATTGGAAAGCAGGGGTTGGGTAGAGAGGGGGAAGGGCCAGTAGAGACAAGCAGACAAACAGAAAACTAAAAGGCAGAAACAGGAATTCAAAGAATATTATCATCTGGGGCCATTTAGGGACGGAGAAGCAGTTTGTGGCACCTTATAAGATCCTGACCACTGACAGTTTTAAAGCATAATAGAAGACTACTGACTCTGAGTCATCTAGAAAAATTAACTGAAATGTAGTGTCCTTTTGTTAGGAAGGCAGGTGGATGAACCATATTTAAGAAAGACTGCCATTAAAAAATAGTTAAAATAAAAAGCTCAGGGTATTAAATGTCATTTATCTGAGACACTCATGTGTGTGTGCAGGGACAATACATTCTGCAACAAAAATTGGGTAACAGCTCAGAAAGCCTTTGTGTTGCTTCCAGGTGCAAAAGGCAGCCTAGAAAATGTAGTTTGGTTGCCATGATGCTGGCATTTTGGGGACACTTAAGCACTCAGGAAGATAATGGACAGAATATTTGGAATTGGGACGATCTGAGAAATTCTGTGCAGAAGAGCACGTCTTTTCTCCCCCAAAGCCCCAGATTACTGACGGTGTGTGAGGCAGTGGAAGGAGACATGCAATGTAAGGTCAGCCTTAGGCAGACTGCAGAGATCTTTGTGTGGGAGACTGAGGGGAGACAGAGGGTGCAGAAAAGAATTGCATTAGCAGCCTCCCTCCTTGGCCTGCCCTTTGTTTGCTCCTTTAAGTACCATATATCCAGTTCATTCCATCTCACGCACTTGAATTCTGCTCTCTTCCAAAGCACAGTTAAGTGTCATAACTTAACTGTTATGGCTTAGGTGAAGTAAAAAAAGGGACTGTCATTATTATAAAAAAAAAGCCATGTCATTATTCACATTCCTAGTACAGACTGAGTCCCAAGGACTGGACCCTGCTTTTGCCATGCATGAACTCATTAACCCTATAATTTAAATACAACTACTATCTCCCCTCTAAAGAGGTGAAAACAGGTACTGAGAGAAGAAGCCACTGGTTTCATCAGTTAGATAATAGGAAATGGCAGGGGCAGGATTCAAACCTCGATGGTGGGTTCCAGACCCATCCCCTAAACTGTCTGTTCTGCCCCTTTAGTTTGCAAAGTTCCCTTTTTCCCTCCCTGCTGGTCTGGATGCACCCTTTAGTCCAACCCTGACTGTAGACATCCCAGAGCCCAGACTCCCTGATCCCAACCCTCCTGCCTCTCCCCACTATTAGTTCTCACAGAACTGAGTGAAAAACAATGAAGTCCTTTCCTGGGGGATGTGGTTCTGATGAATTGCCACTTATCACCTGGAGCAGGCCCAGGGAAGCCAGATCGGGATGGGGATGCATGTGTCCACCTGAGAGAGCTCAGCCTGATCTCTGGCAGCTTCTCACTAGCTGCCAGCACCTCCTCCCTGGCCCCATCCTCACAGAGCCACTGACAGGCCTGGCTCCCAGCTGCTTTATCTCCAGCTAACACGCATCTCCTTTCCCTCCTCCTCCTTATCTGGGGGTTTCCTTGCGGCTCTAATGAAAAACCCTCGTGTCACATTGAAAAGTTGCCAGTTATTGCTGCTGGGAATAAAATCCAGCCTCTGCCGGGCAGAGACTCATGAAAGCTTCTAGCTGGGCACCGAGGAGTAGCCAGTTGGAATAATCCTTCAATATGGGCAGCCTCTCAAGCGTAATTAGGTGGTACCAGGTGGGGCCCCTCCCTGACAGCAAGGAAACAAACAAACAATAGGATGGGCCAGGTTCCCTGCCGCCACCTTGGTTTCCTCCATTCCTTGGCCTCCCGGCACACCTGCCCTGGAGTCTGCCTACCTCATGCTGATGGGTTCAGGCTCTTTCTCTGCATCCCAAAGATACAACAAATTGTATGTGAGCTCTCAGGTCAGCCTGAGTAGCAGGCAATGGCTTCACTGGATCCTGAAAGACCAGATCAGTCCACCTGATGATTATCCAAAATGTGGATTTCTTGGCTCTACCCTGGAACCACTGAATCTGAATCCCTAGGGCTGAGGCTTGAGAATTTCCATTTTTAAACCCCCTCCCTCACCTGGATTATGGTACTTAGAACCACTGGACCTGAGCAAGTAGATCCAAAGAAAGATGCTCCCATATATACGCTCTTTTAAATTGTAAACCCTAAAGAGCCCTTCCACCTTTCAAAGCCAGACATGAGCATTGCTAGCACACCAACCCTCAAAGTATACTAGGACAGCCATTTCTGTCCCTAGTTCACAGAGAAAGAAGCACGTGGTTCCTCACAGGCCATGGATGACACCAAGAGAGTTGAGGGCATGCTGCTGTTTCACTCACAGTCACCTTTCTGGGGCAAAGGAACCACAGTGAGACCTAAAAAGCATTTTCCAAGCCTGGTGTTCTGGCCAGAAGCCACACATGATGAGAGAGGAGGCATGAGGTGATTCTGCAGTGTACACAGCTAGCTGAAACGGCGACTCCAGAGTGATCACTACCTGACTGTAAGCTGAGCTCCAGCCATGGCAACTTTCCAGAACATTTGCATAGAAAAAGCAGGAATATCAGTGATTCTCAATGGGAGTGACTTTCACCCCACCGGGGGACATTTGGCAATGTCTGGAGAGATTTTTGATTCTCACAACTGTGGTGGTAGGGGGACTACTGGCCTCTAATGGGGAGAGGTCAGGAATGCTGCTAAATATCCTATAATTCATAGGACATTAAGAACACAACAAGGAATTATCTGGCTCAGAATGTCACTAGCACCATGATTGAGAAACCCTGGAATAAAGACGTGAGCCCAAGTCCAGGGATGTCCTTAGCCCCTGAAGGTAGAGTGTTCAATCAGACTCTTTGTTTGGGGTTGGAGTTTTTATACCTTCCATTTGTTGTAATTTATCTAGAAAAAAGATGTGAATCAACCCAGGGGCCAGCAGAGAAAGGCTTACAAGCTTACAGGGAGCTCACACAGCCAGCCCCCTGTAGGAGCTGGGCTTAAAAGACTCAGTTTATCTGACATCCCATAAATACCAAGACCCAACTTAAGCTCTTGATTCCTTCAGCAATTGGTCATTGCTTTAACGGCAGCATATGGACAAATAAATGTTCACTACTGAGCTGCCTGGTTAGATTTATTCCATATAGATTCCCCATGTGGTCTCCCGTCTTCACGGAAGAGTTAAAAAAACAGACCATTTAGTTGATAAAATTGAGTCTATTGAGTCTCCCATGAGTTAACGGAGTGGAACCAGCTACTGGTGCAGACTGAAGCACACACATCGCTGTGGAAGCCAGGCTGGAGGGGCCAAATATTTTCTTTGCAGTTGATTCGATGCAGTTCAGTGGTTGATGGCGTGTGGAGGCGGAACTCTTCCCGATGATCCAGTCCCCTCCTGTCTATGCGGCCAGCGCCTCAAAGGACACGCATAATTTCTTTTCCCCTATAAAGTGAATCTGGGCATTTTATAGCTGAAAAGGGAGCAATTTCCATTTGAATTAATCAAGAGGCTGAAGGCAAAGGTGCATTATGTAGCTTTAAAGGACATTCTTCCTTGATTGACAAGGTCCCGTGGCCACCCCTTGTAAAGCCTTAGCAATGGAACATTTCTTGACATCACTCAAGGGAGGTCTGTTATCTTAGTTATACTCACATGGAGCCTGTGGGTTTTTTTGCACCCCAGTCTAAGAAATAACTGCAGTCTCACTCTTGGCGTTGAACACATTTGTTAACCATAACCCTGTAACATTTCTTCCCTGTTAAATTAGAAGAAAGCAGTAATATTATTGAAGGAAAACATACCTTTCAGCCACTTTGGACATTTTCAAACAATGTCTGTCGATCTGTGTGTTCAAAAATGTTATCTGGGAAAATAGAGAACATGGACATTAAGACCAAACTACAATTATTTTTTCCCCTCGCTCCACAAACCCAAATCCTGCATTTCCACCAAGATCCAAATAGTTCCTCTGGCCAGACATCTCCAACTCCCTCAGCTCTGCCCTCCAGCAACTTACTTGTGCCTCTGGACATCCCTATCATACAAGATTCACATTCTACAATTTAGCCTGTGTCTCCTCTCCTCCTCTACTGTGGTGTGATTTAAGTCTTGCTTTCCAAAACTTAAAGGCAATATATAGTCTACAAAACTTAGCAATGGCACGGACAGGTGAAACGTGCACCATAAATACCTATAAATACCTGTTTTGAATAATCCCCAGTGACCCCTCCTCTGCCCACCTTTCACATGCACGTCACGCCCATGTCCTTGGCATGCTTGACTGGAATCATCAAAGAGCTATTTTTCTGTTTTTTTTTTTTTTTTTTTTTTTTTTTTTTTTTGAGATAGTCTCATTCTGTTGCCCAGGCTGGAGTGCAGTGGCATGATCTCAATTCACTGCAACCTCTGCCTCCCAGGTTCAAGCAATTCTCCTGTCTTGGCCTCCTGAGTAGCTGGGACTACAGTCACAAGCCACCACGCCCGGCTAACTTTTTTGTATTTTTAGTAGAGATGGGGTTTCATCATATTGGTCAGCCTGGTCTCGAACTCCTTACCTCAGATGATCCACCTGCCTCGGCCTCACAAAGTGCTGGGATTACAGGCATGAGCCACTGAGCCTGGCCAAATAGCTTTTTTTTCATAAATCCATTACCTCTCACCCATTAGATAATAAATTTGTCAAGGGCAAGCACCTAAAAGTTTACTCCTTTGGGTTTTGCCCTCTAGAAACTGGCAAGACATAATATAAACAGTAGGTTGCTTTGTTACCAGTAAATATCAGAAGGAAGTAATATAATTAGCCATTGTCTGTTGACCTGGGCTCCTCAACATGAAAGAAAATAACATTCAACCAAGTAATGCTGAAAAGGCATTGGGAGTAGGGCTTTATTTATTCTTAAGCTTTCCTTTCAAATCACAGTAATAAAGTACACCATCCTGAGCTGGTTTAGTCTGGAAGTGCATTCCAATTATAAGGACTGTGTGACATGAGCCCCCTCCTTCCTCCAGCTCCCACAGCGGACTGTGGGAAACCCCACTACAGCAGTTACCCCAAGGCACGGGATGACTCATTTACACCCTTTTCTAATAACTGCTGGAGGAACTGGGTAGAGAATTCTCTCTCAAGCTTCCGTGGCTCGTTCACACACAGCACTTAAAGGTTCAATCACCCACAGCTGGGTTCCACCGTGGTTTCCAGGAACTCAAAGCTTGCTCAGCCTTCAGAGGTGAACATTTGAAAGGGTTTTTCAACTGGCCCCGTCTCCTCCTGGGAATGTGAGCCGTCAATTCATTCACCTGTTTCCGGATGTCCTCTTTTGTTGTTTTCCTGATTGGTTGGCTGAGTACATGCACTGGGCTCTGTGCCTGGGACTCTTCAGTCACGCCATACACGGACTAGGAGAAGAAGCAAGCACAGAGTGTCATCCACCTGCAGAGTCGGAGGGTGGCTTAGGGGTCAGCTAGTTCAATGACTCATCCAATTTCCTGAATCCCCTCATGACAATACGAGCTTGGTCTCTGCTTTTATTTCTTCAATGATGAGAATGCTGCCTCTTAAGGCATGCCATCTCATCTTTGGGGTACCACTATAACCCAAATCCTGCCTTTTACTGGGCTGAAAATAGCCTCCTTGTATCTCAGTGTTTCTCCAGATATGATTCATAGACCATCTACAAAGAATCACCTGGGTGTGCTTGGAAAAGACATGTTGCTGAGTATGCCCTCACCCCCTGGACTTACTGCATCAGAATCTTTCTGGGTGGGTTTGGAAATCTGCATTTTTATCAAATGCCCCAAAAGATTCTGAATAAAGAAAGTTCAAGAACCACTGCCGAAGAGTATGCACAAAAGATCCCCTCTACATTTCTGTTGGTCAGCAGATGCCCATCTGGTACAAAACTGGGATGGCAGCCTTTCAGGGTTTCCCGTTCAAGTTAAACACTTTTCTGGCCTCAGTTTCTCCACATGTCTGTAGCTATAGCTACGTTTAAAGCTGTTCCTGGTATTATGGACAGACTAAACACAATCTTCACCATGGGAAAGAAACGAAACCCTGAAGGGCAAGCAATGTGTAGTCAAAATCATCAAAATGAAAAAGGGCTCAGATAAGGTGGATGAGACTCCATGAACTTCTGTAATGTTAGAATTACGGGGCTCTTGAAGATGAAATGAGGACATTTTAGGAATAACATTTTAAAATATAATACAGTGGGTATTATTATCTCAGCGAAGAACAAAATATGTAAGTAGATTAAAGAAGTTTATATACATACGCCATGTCTAGTGTGTGTGTGTGTGTGTGTGTTTTAAATACATACACGAAGGAGAGCTAATTGATCATCACAAGAAATATAAATGTTTGGGGATGCGTCTCCATTCTTTGGATATTTTTTTTTTGTTTTTTGAGACGGAGTCTCGCTCTTGTCGCCCAGGCTGGAGTGCAATGGCACGACCTTGGCTCACCACAACCTCTGCCTCCCAGGTTCAAGTGATTCTTCTGCCTCAGCCTCCCAAGAAGCTGGAATTACAGGTATGCACCACCGTGCCCAGCTAATTTTGTATTTTTAGTAGAGACGGGGTTTCTCTATTCTCTCTTGGTCAAGCTGGTCTTGAACTCCCAATCTCAGGTGATCCACCCGCCTCAGCCTCCCAAAGTGTTGGGATTACAGGTGTGAGTCAACGCACCCGGCCCACTCTTTGGAAATTAATATTATGGAGTCTGGTCATGCTCTCCTGCAATATTGTCCCTGGTGCTGTGGAGAGGGTGGGATGTACAAATCGTGGGGGAGTCTGAGCATGGTACCCTCAGATATGCTGTGGCCACTACTCCTTTCAGTAAAGTGAAATGCAAGAGATCACTGGGTCATTCACAGTTGGGCAAGATGGTGGTTTGAGTTTGGGTGATCCAGCTCTATCAAAAAATAAAATAAAATAAAACAAAACATAAAAGAGACTTTCATTTGCCTCCAAGTACAAAGCTTGCTTTCACCTGTGAGCTTTGCCACTTCTTGTTCCTTTTGTTTCCTGCCTTCCCCACCACCTCCCCAGAGACAACTAGAACTTAACCCTTCAGAACACCTGACCCTCTTTCAGGAAGTCCTTGGGAAGCCCCTTACCCCTGTCCCCTCCAGGTCTGGCTTAGCTGCCCCTCCTGGGCTCCTCAACTGTCTTGTACATCTCCTAACACAGCATTCATGGCCCTGTTGCCTGTTGGCTTGTTTTACTCCCTGCCACGCTTTGGGCTCTGTGAGGACCTGCCACTGTATCCTAGCACTAGCACAGCCACAGCGCCAAGCATGCATCAGCTGCTCAATCAATATTTGTGAAATGGTTACAGTTTCAAAAGACAAAAGGTGGTGGAATTACAAGTAGCAAATTACTATTTGAATAGTACTAGAACTGGAAGGGCTATTCACATCAGGAATTTTTAACTCAGCTAAACTAGCGAACCTTTTTAACCTTTTGTGGATTCTTCAAACGTCGACATTTTCGGATGTCCATTTCTGTTGTGTTCACACAGCCTGGCTGAGAAAAAAAAAAAACAGATCATATAAATTACTATGTGAAAATTACACTTCCAATTTAGCCCATGTCACACCAACAGGATCAATCTTTATCTTTTTCCATTACAGACAATGCATGATTTTTTTCCATTTTGCCATAATATGTGTTCCTCTGTGGAGTTCTCATATGATCTAGAAAAGCTTACCTCATAATCTAAGGATGATATGTAGAGGGTATAGTGCACAGTTTTTAAGAGCAAATTAGCTATTCAAGTGGCAAGATTGCATCAGGTACAGCCCTTTAAAAATTTTTTTTTAACATACTTAACCATTTGAAAAAGACTCCATGATATCAGGATGAGTAGCTATTTATTTATTTTTTGCTTTTAATTAAATTTTAAGAAGACCAATAGTTTATTCTTTTTAGTTCCATTTCCATAAGGAAAATGCAAGATTTGTTTTAATAACGTGAAATCAGAAATACAGTCAAACCTCATTATTTACACACTTTTGCATTTGTGAATTTGCCTACTTCCTCAATTTCTTTTATAACCCCCTCATCAGTAGTTGCACCTTGAGTAGACTGATGTGCGTGTTTCCTACTGAAATTGAACAAGGTGATGTCCTGCCTTTTTGTTTCAGGCCCGTCTATTTAGGGCTAATTTAGTGGCAACTTTTCTACGTTTTTGTGCTTTTTGTTGGTGATTTTGCTGTTTAAGATGGCCCCAAGGACAGTGCTGAAGTGCTGTCCACCGTTCCCAAGCAAGAGTCTGATGTGCCTTAGGAGGAAATAAACGTGTTAGCGAAGCTTTGTGCAGGCATGAACAATAGTGCTGTTGGCCATGAGTTTAATGTTAATGCATCAATGATACATATTATGTAAGGTGTCTTTACACAGAAACACATTTAAAAGGTTATGTATCGATCAGCTGATAAAAATGTTGTGGCCACAGGCTCACAGGGACCTAGCTTGGTAGTTCCCATGGGAGTGATGCTTCAATGTGTGCTAGTTCAGTGTTTGCAAAGACTTTATAGAACATAGCTGCCATGGATAACAAGAATTAACTGTATTCGACAGAGAATAGTTTAAGATTTAGAGTTGAATAGCAGTGGAAATGGAAATTGTTAATTTGGGGAATGTAAACCTTTGGGACCCAAAGGTCTTTTGGTGGAATTCCCATAGCTTCTCTTTTTGCAATTCCGTATTTTCATGAATGAATAATTTTTTAAAAGGTGGAACTTACATATATTCCAAGAAATTTACTAGATTATATAAATGAATGGCAAAACCAGTTCCACAAAGCTCAGCGATTTTCTTAAGACTGAGACACCTGGTGGCTAAAGACGGTCTTTTCCCTATAGAGATAAAAATGAAAAATTAAGAAAAAAAATCTAGAGAACTGAGTAGAGCTTTCTCACCACAGGCCTGTGGACATCCCAAAAGGCTCGTTCTTGACTATCCAAAATTTTCCTTTCTGTCTTGTCCTTTTTCCGGTCAATCCTGAAAGAGTAAAGAGAGGAAGGAAATAAGAGGCTCTGTATTCTGTTTTCCCTGCTGACACTTGCTCCAGCATTTGCTCCTGTTTCTAGGAGCTAAGTGAACACAACACCATTGGTACCCGCATGGTGCCTGCTCTCTGCAGAGCTGTGAAATAGGGGTGTATAATTCCCCTCCCTGAAAACCCCCGAAATTCCACACATGGTAAGACAACTTGTTTTAGGCTAGATTACTGATTGCCATATATGTGTAATGAACATGGTGGCCTAAGGGAAGAATAAGAATGCAGCTGTTCATCTGAAGTATTAAGATTTGGATTATTAAAAACCGAATTATCCATTGATATGCCCCCTCATCAAAAAGGATACTGCATATACAAATTATAAGATGGAATATAACCACCGTCTCACCAGCGTTCCATGTTCAAATTTGGAAGTTTGCTTTAGATTTAGAATCAGTAGAAAGAAATGTCTTTAAAATGCTGCAATTAAGTGTTTTATAAGTCACTTACACCATCTGGCTTTCTAAAGGCAGAATAATGGCCCTCGCATGAGACAAGATCCAGGAGGCAAATATCCCTGCCTCAGCTGGGGGAGGCACAAATTGCAAGAGGGAAATTGCAGGTGACAAAGACTTATTGTTCTGATCTGCAGCATAGATAAGAGGTTTTTTTCTTTTTCTTTCTTCTTCTTCTTCTTTTTTTTTTTTTTTAAAAAAAAGCATGTATTACTTCATTTTATTTCTTCAAGTAAAAAGCAACTCAGATTAATTGCTGTGTAACTCCTGGTTCTCGGCTCTCTTGGGAACCCTTTAGTTTACTGGACTGAAATAAACCCATAATCACCCTGTGATTTTTGTGATAATTACTGTGTACTTAGGTGGCCCACAATTATAATGTAATCACAGAGTTAATCAGAAAAGTTAATCGAGAAATACCATATATTTATGAAGTAACAATTTCCCCTCTGTTTATAACTTATGATGCTGTTTGATTCTGGAAGAATTAGCATTCCTCTTTGCTTTCCAGTGGCTTCTGAGTACACAGGCGCAATTCTGCCTTAGTCCAGTTGAATCTCAGCCTCCATCTCACCTACTCTCCCACCTTCACCTCTTCGGGGGCACCCAATGCCTGGTACCCACCTATCCCGGGGGCTGCTGGTTGGTCAGGAGGTGGCTGGCATCATGGACAGGAGAAAGGCAGAGACTGTCGGGGGAGGGTCACAACAATGGCAGTGTACAGGCCACTAGACCAGATGGCCTCAGGTCACTTCCAGCTGTGACCATAGCTGTGATGAGTCTACACCCACACAGCCTGAGACCCGGCTCCAGGCCATCGGCTGCAACACCACTCTGGAATGTGAGAGGGTTGCTCTGAAGACTCAGCGGCTGCTCACATGCAAGTGGTACCCAGAGGAAACATAGTCCTAGTCTCCCAGCTCAGCATCCCTTTCCTGCTCCTGTCCTACTTCTCCTGTTAACCATCCTGGCTAACCTAGACATCACCCCTGGGAAGGACAGGGGAGATCCAGATCCAATCATTCTGTTTCCCAGAATTAAATGGATCTGGTTGACAACCATGTTTGTGGGGTAGGGAACGCAGAGTACCCATTCCTCATGTTTCCTTAGAGAGGAAGAAATGTCCAGTATGTATCCAGGAGAAAAAATTCTGGGAAAAACCCTTCCGACTATTTTCTTCCTTTCATCTCTTGTCCTTTGGGGAGGACAAATGACTCAACTAATTGGTAGACTTGAAAGAAGAAACTGACAAAGTTCAGACTCTCCCTCTCTGGGCCCCCATCTGGGTCAGCCTGTGCTCAGGATAGCTGCTTTTTGCGTGCAGAAAACTTACAGGGGTCACCTCTGCCCTGGTGGGGTGGGGTGGAGATGCTGGGGAGAGGCCTATAGATACACACCTCTGTCCAGGAAGGGTAGGTTTAATTTGCACCTGTGGCCACATATCCAATGTCATGCCTTATAATCTTGTTTTTTTTGTTTTTGTTTTGTTTTGTTTTGAGATGGAGTTTTGCTTTTGTTGCCCAGGCTGGAATGCAATGGCATAATCTCAGCTCACTGCAACCTCTACCTCCCTGGGTTCAAGCAATTCTCCTGTCTCAGCCTCCTGAGTAGCTGGGATTACAGGGATGTACCACCATGCCTAGCTAATTTTGTATTTTTAGTAGAGACGGGGTTTCACCATGTTGGTCAGGCTGGTCTCCATCTCCTGACCTCAGGTGATCCGCCTGCCTCAGCTTCCCAAAGTGCTGGGATTACAGGCATAAGCCACTGTGCCCGGCCTTACTCTTGTTTTTTAATTAATGTAATAATCTGATATTTTGGACTCCAGCTGTCTGACTTCTGTGCCTTAGTTTTCTATTGGTTCTAACTCCTCCCCTGTCAGGGAGAAGAAGACACGGGCTACTTGTTGTTCTTCCTGAAACTCCAACCTGTTTTCCTATGAAGACAAAATCTCCAGTCCAACAGGTAAAACGGGGTTTCAGCCTTTGAGCACAGAAACTAACTGGAAATCTCTTGGGGAAATAGATACACCTTCTTATAACCAGAGTTCTACCTTTGGGAGGCTCTCCCTTGGCAGAAACACACATTTCTGAAATTGTTTTACGGTAGCATTGGTTATGAAGGTGAAACTTATCCATCCTGACCTTAATTTCTACTCAGTTGCCCTTATGCCAGACTAGAAATACTAACGCCATCTGGAAACTTCACTTTGACAATCGCACCTTCACACCATTTCCAAATTCCAGAGTCTTTTCCTCTCTGAAATGGTCTCTATTAAGTTCACCTACTTTACTTGTGCTTCTGCTTGCATAAAGATGAATTCCCACTTCCTTGCAAAGGCCCTCTGGAGTCTTGCTAAGTTTTCCTAATGAAAAATGAAAATCAACAAGAAGGCATTAATCATCGTAAATTAGCACATCGACACCTATGCTTATTATAAGGCAGCCATCCATTCTGGTTACTTCCAACAGAATAGCAAGACCTGCTTTAAATCCCCTGGACATGTATCCAATTTGACTTTGCACCGGACCCTGATGTACAGAGCTGAACTATTAATATTCATTTACACACCCATTAAGTCTGAAGTCTCTGTGGTTCACCTGATTCCTCTCTTCTTATGTGTTTTACAAGAATGCAACTCACACAGCACTTGTTTCAAAGGTTGCTGAAAATAGGGAAAATTGTCTGTGGCTACTGGGGAATTAACGAGTCTTTGCCACCTGTTGGTATCTCTAGGCACAAAACCAAGGCTGGATTTCTCAGGACTTTCTTCCAGTGGGGAGCTGGGAAGGTCACAGGAAAGGAGAACCAAGGGGACCCGACTTTCATGCTTTTTCTAATGTCAGGATTCAAAAGTGACTGAGGCTGGGTGCGGTGGCTCACACCTGTAATCCCAGCACTTTGGAAGGCCGAGGCAGATGGATCACCTGAGGTCAGGAGTTCAAGACCAGCCTGGTCAACAAGGTGAAACCCCGTCTCTACTAAAATTACAAAAATTAGCTCGGTGTAGTGGCAGGTGCCTGTAATCCCAGCTACTTGGGAGACTGAGAGAGGAGAATCGCTTGAACCCGGGAGGTGGGGAGGTTGCAGTGAGCCGAGATCCGGCCACTGCACTGCAGCCTGGGCAACAAGAGTGAAACTCCGTCCCCCTCCAAAAAAAAAAAAGTGGCTCAAAAAGAGTGTCTACGTTTATGATGTTCATGAAAGAAAAAGCCAAAAACAGAAAGAAAGGTCATTGAGGGTTGGCATTAGAGAAAAATAAAAGTATTTTCTCTAAGTCTGTAGAGTTACCTAATAGAACATGAGGATGGGCGGTGAGGAGGGGAGCTTGACAGGCACCCTAATGATCCTCCTAATTCTGATGAATGCAAGGCTGGAGCCCATATTATGCTATGTATTTTCATAGAGCTCATGCCAACACTAATTGATTACCCTCATTAATGGATTATTAATATAAAAGGAGCTTCAGTTGGAGAGTACCACACATGAGCTCACAGTTATTACCTAGGCTTGGTGCACAAGTAGTTCTAAAAAACTGTCTTTTTGACTCTTCCACTGCTCACAGGAAGCAAAACTGGTAACGCCTCAATGTCAATCAACTGTGACACAGTCATAGTATAGAATTCTAGGCAGCCATTAAACACAGTAATGTAGATTATAGTTACTGACATGGTAAGGACCCCAAGATACCTACAGTATAATGACTGGGGAAAGAGAAGCAGTTGCCACAATAATGTTTATGGTATGATTCTAATACAGATTTGTAAAGAAAAAAATGTATGCATAGAAAAAACTTAGGTGGGTTACATTCTCTCCTTTCTTTGCTGTTTGAATTTGTGTTTTTATAAAAAGAATATGTAATCAGAAAATTTATAAAAAATTATTGCATTTTGGAAGCAAAATGTTTTGGTTTTGAATCATTTTTGTGCAGAACTTCAACCTGAGAGCACATTTTTTTTTTTTTTTTTTTTTTTTTGAGATGGAGTGTTGCTCTGTTGCCCAGGCTGCAGTGCAGTGGCGCGATCTTGGCTCACAACCTCTGCCTCCCAGGTTCAAGAGATTCTCCTGCCTTAGCCTCCTGAGTAGCTGGGACTACAGGCGTGTGCCACCACGCCTGGCTAATGTTTTTGTATTTTTAATAGAGACGGGTTTCAGCATGTTAGCCAGGATGGTCTCGATCTCCTGACCTCGTGATCTGCCCACCTTGGGGATTACAGGCATGAGCCACCACACCTGGCCTCAATGCCATATTCTTTACAAATACCACAGCAGAACATTAAGGGACAAGATAAGAGAAATTGAATCAAATACAGCAGGAGTTGATGCTGTCTGATTTCTGTATGGGACCTTTTTCTAAAACATTGAACATATGGGGAAGAGACACATGGGAGGGAGGGGCCCCAGGCTTCTACAGTCTGGGCCTTTCCTCAAGGTTGTGTTAAGGAAGTAACGTCATCATGTCAAAGCTACTTGCACTGGGTGCACAAAGAGTACAACAGCAGTCTTTTGAAGGAGGGTGATGTGACTGCTGGACATTGGGGCAGACAGGGGCACAACCAGGCTCCCAGTGTGTCCAGAGCCGCAGAACAAACAGGCCAAGGTTTATCTGGGGAGATTATGATGTTCCAACATATGATCATCCGCTAATGCAAACTCTATCCAGGTCCTGAGGCTCTGGACAAACTGCTGCACTGCTTCTTCCTCTTCTGCCCCTTGCACCCCATTGACAGGTCCACAATGCCAGTGGGATCAAAGAGGTGAAGGGCCACGCACAGGTCCTGCTCCCTAGTGGCATGCACATTCATACTTGGGCTGCAGAGAGGGGAGCGATGGCCCTGCTGGCTTGGTAGGCTTGGGAACATGAACCAAGGAGAGGTAAGGCCTGGCAGAGTGGGGCCTCACACTCGTTTTGAAAGACTGAGGCAGTAAAAGCAGGAGGGGTTTTGGAGGTGGGTGGGTCTGAAGATGCTGTTAATGCTGGACTATGCAGGGAAGGATTCTCTGCTGCCCTTAATGTTGCCCCTCCTCCCACAGCTGCTGGCCCTTCAGTCACTCACGGCTCAGCAGCACATCCTTCGGAAGACGTATAGGGAGAGGGAAGTGGAAGGTACAAGAAAGTTCGGGCAATTTCTCCCATTCTCTGTGATCCACAAAAAGTTCAGTTTGGGGTGAAAATTTTGCAACCAAAAGTTAAAAAAAAATGTAAATGATCTATGAGTTTTCAAGTGCTTTGGTTTCTGGGCTCTGTCAAATGGGAATGGATCCAAGTTTGATGGTGGGGCCTCTAATTTTTGCAAGAAGTCCCATCTTATGAAGGATGATAGAGGGGGAAGGTAAGAAAGCTGGGAAGTAGATACCTCATGTGACATACATCTTGTCTTACTTTCTCAATTGAATTTTACCCTTAGATTCTGCCTCTGTTACTAAGCAGAGGAGAGTGGGTATAAAGATGCAATTTAAAATTTTGATTTAAAATATTATTATGTAGTAAATTTGACTTTTTTCCTTCTGTACAATTCTGTAAATTTTAACACATGTATAGATTCATACAACCACCACCACAATCAGGATACAGAACAGTTTCATCACCTTCCAAAAATCTCCTACCCCATCCATAACCCCTAGCAATCATTGATCTGCTTTTCATCATGATAGTTTTATCTTTTCAAGAATGTCCTATAAATGGAATGGCTGGCTTGAGATTGGTTTCTTTCACCCAACATAATGTCCTTGATACTCATTCAAGTGGTTGTGTGTATCAATAGTTCATTCTTTTTTACTGCAGAGTAGTATTCTATTGTATGGATGTACCACAGTTAGCTTAACCATTCAACTGTTAAAGTGCATTTGGGTTGTTTTCAGTTTTTGGTTATCACAGATTAAGCTTGTGTGAACATTAGTTTATAGGTGTTTGTGTGAACATGAGTTCTGATTTCTCTCGGGTATGTATATAGAAGTGGGATTACTTGGTTATATGGTGTTTGTTCAACTTTATAAGAAGCTGCCAAACAATTTTCTAGAGTGGCTGTACCATTTTGCATTACCACTAGCAATGCAGGAAAGTTACGGTTGTTCGACATCCTCACCATCACTTGGTATCATCAGTATTTTTTATTTTGGCCATTCTAATAGGTATGTAATGGTATCTCACCATGGATTTAATCTGCATTTCCTAAATGGCTAATAATATTGAACATCTTTTAATGGGCTTATTGATCATCCTTGTGTCCTCTTCGGTAAAATATCTGTTAAGTCATTTGCCTATTTTTAAATTGAGCTGCTTATATTTTTATTGTTGAATTTTAAGAGTTATTTATGGAAAAATACAATCTTATTGTGATGGTCAGAGGAGGTGAGAACAAAGGAGGAGAAATAGATCCTTCCTTTCCACTGTCTGAAAGGGATGAAAGGGGGACAGAAGAAAAAAAATAAGCTTAGATGGAGCTACAGATATGATTTTACTCTCTTCTCATATCCTGGAAAATAATCATACTTACTGCTTCGTAATCTGCCAGTTCCAGCCTCGCTTTATTCTGCATTGTCCTCTTACAGAGATAGATGGCTGAGGGAAGAAAAGAAATGACAACATGTACAAAACCAGCAGCACAATGGAATTATAAGCCCATCCATCCATCTGTCCATCCATTCACCCATTCATCCATCCATCCAGCCAGCCATCCCGCCCGCCCACCCTTGCTGTGTGCCCAGCACTGTCCTGGGAAAAATATGTTTTCTAAGTGGACATCATGACCCCGACCTCTAGAAATCTTTTTGTAGTCATGATCAGATGAGGACTCCTCCATATTCCAATCCTAACAACTCCCCTTCTTCCTCCTTACTCTACTTCACCCTGAACATCCTTCACTTGGAGTGATATTTCACAAACATGACCACATTACTCCTGTGCCTAAAAGCTCTGCCTTGAATCCTCAATGGCCTCAGAAATAAGGCTGGGTTCATTAGGGTGGCAAATATATTCTTTATGATCTGCTCGCTGCTTATCTCATCAACTTCTTCTCCCTCATGCAGGCACTGTGAGGCCACCAAACTCTTTTAGATTCATTCCTTTGTATATGCGCCCTTTTTGTAGAAGGTCTTTCTCTCTTCTCTCCTTCCCTCTGTCTATCTGGCAACCTCCTACTAATCTTTGAAGACCCAGGTTGGTGTTTCAGATAGCATCTACACATCTTCGACCATGGAACTAAATTCCATTGCACTGAAATCCTGTATTTACTAGACTGTCCCCTGCTCTAGGCTGAAGTCTCCTTAAGGGCAGAGGCTATGTCCTGCTCAGCTTTCATCCCTGTCCCTAGCACCAGAGCCTGTCTTGCCAGGTACAGTAAAAAGGCTATGGAAAGGGAAGACAATTTAGGTCTCTCAACCCAGGCTAAGGAAAGGTTTTTGGCCCGTGGTTTCCCTGTTTCTTCCTCAAACGTGGCCTTCATCATCACTTCTCCCTACCTTTCCTTCTTCAATGTCTTCCTCCTTCTCCAGAGCCAAGTGGAACAATCCAGGGAAACCAGTAGATGAATGGCATAAATAAATGAACAACAGAATGATCAAGAGGGAGTGCCAGAGAGAACCTGTGATCATTTTGTTGTTGGACAACAAGATCTCTTTACTAAGAGATCTCTAGTCAACTCTTTGCTGGATCAACCTACTTCATTCATTTGTTCTGAAAAATTTACTGATACCTATGACATTTTGGAGCCTGGAAGCTGGCAGCCTACCCTCTGGCATGCCCACACTTCTGGCAAATTATGTGCTCATAAGAGTCAGTTGTGGTTGTTATCTGCTTATGTCAGGCACATCTGTTATTTTAATCACACAAGTTCACTAAATATTACATGTGTCAATGAAACTAATGTGCAAAGAGAGAGAGTGTTGCTTCTATGAAAACTCAGTTGAATGATCTGGAACAATTTAATGAAGGAGAGTCAGCTAAGACAGTCGCTGGTGAATTTGATACAGGTGAGATAACTGGAAAAAGGAAGAAAAATAATAAAAATCTAGGAGGGGCCAATGTACAAAAGACTACAAAAATGTCTTTACATTCTTGATGCACTTTAAAGACACCAAAACAGGGTAGTTTATTTTGAGTGTGGTTGATTTAAGAAACTAAAATCATTCAGCTCATAATCAAAGAGAACACTGTGGTCCTACCTCACAAGGCTGTCAGATGAGTGTTCCTTTGCATATCTTACCTTTCCATATGGTGCTTTAAGGTGTACGTATGTCGTTTTAAAAATGATTTTCTACTTACCAACTTTTCCAATGAACGAAGCAGCTATAGTGCTTCACTGGGTCTGATAAAGGGGTGTCTGATCTATCACAAAGTACCTCCTTCAGTCTCTTGGAGTCCTGGCAGAATTAGGGACAACCTCAGGCAGGAAGCTTGACATGTCACCAGCCCCACTGGGCCAGGTCTTGATTACCTTCGAGCAGTGCAGGTCAGTGGAGGTGGCAGCTGCTTGGACAATGCTGCCCTGGACAGTATTTTGCATTTGCCAAATGTAAAACTCAGAAAAGGCTAACCTGGATTTGACTATGGGTTTTATGCAGGCAGAGTCATCCCAAGAAATGTCCAAAGGGGACAGCTGGGTCAAAATGGGGCAGGGGGGTTGTGAAGTGAGGTATTATACATGGAATGCAGAGCTGGGGTCACTCCTGATGGCCATGAGTCACAGGGTCACATGCTACTAGCTAATGTCCCTGTGCCTAAAGTCACACAAGAAATCTTTTCACCACAACGAGGAAGGTGGGATGTGGCTGTTCTTGGCACAGAACTCCCTGGGGCTTGTCTGCATCCCAGAGTGCCTTCACCAGGGCTTGCTCTAACTTCCAACCAACTCTAGTGACTACTGGCGACACCAGTCAGCCCTATAAGAGGGCATCTGGAGGAACTGTCTTAAGCTCAGATACTAGTTTCTCTTGGATATTTAATTTCTTACCAAAAAATTTGTATTTCCCTGTCCTTACATCTGGCATTGCAGCCTTACCTATATCTCATATCTCACTTAGATAAATCCACTGCCATCTCAAGTTCACCATGTGTCACCAAACAAAAGTGGAACATATTTAAAAATTGTATAAAGGGAACAGATTCATGTATTATATGTGCTATTGAATTTCTTAAAAAAAATTGAGCTTATCAAATTTCAATGTACTGGAGAAACTGACCCCTTTCTGTACTTTCTGCCTTTACTAGCAACAGCATTATGTACCTCAATCTCCTAAACTAGGGAACCTATAACTCACTTATTTCTCTATTTTCTTCATGCTCTCTGATGACTTTTTAGAGTTACAGCATTTTAGCACTGGAGGTAACCTTGGCAACCATGAAGTACAGGCCCCTCATTTACAGATGGGGAAACTAGAGGCCCAGAGAAGTGAAGTGATGGACTCAAAGGCTAGTTAGTGATGGAGATGGAATTAGAATTGAGGCCCAGTGCAGAGTTTTCTCTATGATATTCACCAATCCATTTACTCAGTCACTCATTCAAAAATGTACTGAGTGTCTCCTATGGGCCAAGTACTGTTTTAGGTGCTGGAAAAATCACCATTGTAGCAGCTACTGCTTCCATTGACCCCACTGAATATCGGGGACTATTTGACTAAGTCACAGCCCTTACTTAATCCTCCACAGTCCACTCACTTGATCCCCCACAGTACAATGGTGATTTTTCAATCTCTAACATAGAATTTGACAGAGTGGGGACCAGTAAATGTTTGTTGATTGAATGAAAGTGTCTGGTACTTCATCAGTCTAAATCATATTATATTGAATTCTTAGCTTCAGTTTCACATGCTTCCTGGTGAGAGGGTCACCATTGTAGCAGCTTGATCCCCCACAGTCCCCTTGCTTGATCCCCCACAGTCCACTTGCTTGATCCCCCACAGTCCCCTTGCTTGATCCCCCACAGTCCGCTCGCTTGATCCCCCACAGTCTGCTCGCTTGATCCCCCACAGTCCCCTTGCTTGATTCCCTACAGTCCGCTCGCTTGATCCCCCACAGTCCGCTCGCTTGATCCCCCACAGTCCGCTCGCTTGATCCCCCACAGTCCGCTTGCTTGATCCCCCACAGTCCGCTTGCTTGATCCCCCACAGTCCCCTTGCTTGACCCCCACAGTCCGCTTGCTTGATCCTCCACAGTTCGCTTGCTTGATCCTCCACAATCTGCTTGCTTAATCCTCATAACAAATCGATGAGGTGGGTTCTGTTATTACCCCCATCTTATAGATGAACCAATTTCTTCCCAAGTTGGGAAAAAACTTGGGAAAGTGTGTTCATTGTTGGGGACCCACAATAGCTTCTCCAAACTGCTGACTCCATTCTAAACGTCTCTCCTTGACGGTCAGGGCCTTTTTATAAACCCGCCCCTCCCAAGCTATTCAGCCTTCTCAATCATTCATCACATAAAACCTCTGAATACTCAAGCCAGATCCTCACCATGCCTTTCTTCCCTGCATCATGCTGCCTGTCATGTTACTACTCTAATCTTAATATGAGGTCTCTGAGGCACAGAGAGGTTAAATAATTTGCCAAGATCACCCAGCTAGTGGAACTGGTTGATCCTGGGGGCTCACTGTGCTGGATTCTCTCTTGGTAAATACATCCTGATTTTGTAACTAAACTGCTTTGGAAACCCTGGGGAGTACTGGTTTTTCTTTGTTTTAGAGACAGGGTCTTCCTCTGTCACCCAGGCTGGAGTGCAGTGGCACAATCATAGCTCATTGCAGCCTTGAACTCCTGGGCTCAAGTGATCCTCCCATCTCAGCCTCCCGAGTCCCTGGGATTACAGGTATGTACCACCACGCCTGGCCCCTGGTGAACACTTCTGCATCCTGAACCTTGATTTTTCCCTCTGACTTGCCATAATTGAGGCACAGGAATTTAAAATAATTTTTCTTTAGTGAGAACCTGAAACAAACTGTTATTTCTCTCCCTGTTCATGATGCACAATTAAAATTATGAAATGAAGAACACCTGTAGACACAGGGCGCTGATGCCCTTTAGTACTCAGCATAAGATGGCCTAAGCTTTATGGAAGAAAATATTTTAATCTTACTTGGGCCCAGGTATCTGGTCTTACCATCCTCCCACCCTCTCCACTGCCTGGAAAAATAGTGGTTTTCACATTTACAAGGGCACACGTTGCTGCATGGAACTGAGCTACAATTACTCAAATTTCAAGTTGGGCTTTCATGAGCAATCTTTTCAGCCTCAGAAGCACTAGTTTCATGAGCAGTCAAATGCAGCTTTCGCTTGCAGCCGGAAGCCTTCCTGGATCCACTTATCACATTGGTCAGGGTGCAGCACAGTGTCAAAGGGCCCACGGTGGTGCCTGTGGATAGCCAAGCAGACAGCCCCAGGGCCTGCCCTTCTGCATGACTGACATCCTCCACACTTGGCCGTGGAACAACTCCAGCCTTAGTAGGTAACAACTCACTTGTATTTCACGCTCAGCTTGGTTCCCTGTTGTCGGTTTCCTCTTGCTCGAACATGTGACTCCAAGGTTGTATCTTATCCCAGGGGTCTCCCAGACAGGCTCCCCTGATCACCACCTAGCTGCATATCTCCCTCCCGCTCATCACAGCTGCATCTGCCTTCCTGTCTTAAACAATTCTGCAAAGAAGCTGCAGGTCTCATTGAGTGTCCCAGTCCCCAGGAGAGCCACAGACCAGACTGCCACAGCAGCTGAGTCAGCAGCAATGATGCATGCAAAGGGGTAGTGCTGCTGCTACAACCTTCAGGCATGTCACACACAGGACCATGAAAGAAGCATGGGTTTTGGAGCCACTCAGATCTGAGTTCGAGTTCTGCTCCCTCTAGTGAGTGTCTGTTGATCACCTTCAATAAAGAACCAGAACTGTCAGTGGATATTTACCGAGCACTAACTCTGCCTCAGACATGGGCTATGCACTGGAGATATGAGAATGCACAAGCTGGACCAGCCTCTGCCCTCATGAGGCTTACAATCAAGGGAGCATTCAGACAATGTGGTAGTGTGAGGGTGTGGCCTCTCTGGGCCTCAGGTTCTTTCTCTTAAGCATAGTGATAATATAACTTCTGCAGAGAACTGGCATATAGGAATATTAAATAATCTCCATTGAGAGTATGTGGCAGAAGAAGTCTTGTAGGTCCCTGTCTGGAGACAGAGAACTCCCAACTTCACTCACTTTTTATTTTCCTAGTCCAGGATGACTTCTGTATACCTGTCTCTGGTCTCTCTCCTTTTTCTAACTTGCAACTATCAAGAACACCAAAAGGTTCTTAGTAAGTTTTGACAAGTCTGTGACAACAGAAAGGGCCAGGAAGAGGTAGCCCCTTGATCCAGCCCTCCCTGAAGCCCTATCCTTGGAAAGAACAATTAAAAGTCACCATCCCATAGTGTTGCTGTGGATCCTGGTTCTCCATGGCCCCAAGATGAACATACTGACCACCCTTGATAAGATTTTTCTTCCCTCTCCTGCTTCCCCTCCAAGGACTACACCTTTCAGTGAGCTGGGCCTTCCTCTGTTATGTGGAACAGGATATTTGTTATAAAGCAACAATACGAGAAAGGACTAAGCAGAAAGGACCCTCCTGCCCATGTACCACAGTTACCCACACCAAGCATTTGTCTTCTGCACACCCAGAAGTGACACACAGTGTGGGCTGTGGCTTCAGTTCTCACCATAGTCAGTGTTTTCAGGTTCCCAGCAGTTCGAAGGCCAGAAGTACGGAGCCTGCAAAGGAGCATGGGTGTCAGGGCTCATAGGTGTGCCATGCCTGCACTTCCCTCCCACATCCAGGGGGGAGCCTCCCTGATGGCAGGCTCTCCCCCAACTCCTTCTTGCTGATGCTACCCCACAATGCTCTCCTCTTCTCTAATGCAGCTGAGGTGAGTCAACATTTTAATCTAGGCATTGACAAATAAAATGTAAGGTAAGCAAAACAAATGCAAAAATGAGAAGTTTTGTTTACAGGGAAATATATTCTTATCCTGAGACAACAGAGGTCTAAGTACAAAAGTCAGGCTGGCATAACTTACTGGGCACCTAAGCCCATGTTCCTTTTCTCCCTTTAACTTAGTCTGAAGAACTCTTCTCCCAAACCCTTTGGTTAGACCTTCACTCAACCCCATATCCTCTGCCCTCATTACCTCTAGGGAAGGATCTGGGAGAAGGAATGTAAAATGGGTGGGGAGGGTGATTAGGTAGCAAACAGAAACTTCACTCCGGAGAAGGTAGCATGAGACAGTAGAAAGATCAAGGTCTGTGCTATCAGGCTCACTTAGGTTCAAATTAAGGCTGCTCCTGGATTTACTAAATGACACTTTAATTCTTTGAGCACTTCAGTTTTCTTATCTGTAAAATGGGTGATATTTACCCCCTAAAGTGTGCTTTTCAGAATAAATGAGGAAATCTGTACAAAGTGTCTATGATGGTCTGAATGTCTGCGTCCCCCTCAAATTCACATGTCAAAATCCTAATCCCCAAGGTGACGGTATTGGGAGGTAGGGCCTTTGAAGCCCTCACAGATGAGATTAGTGCCCTTATAAAAGAGGCCTGATATAAGCTCCAGGTCCTGTCTGCCCTGGGGGGGATGCAGCTAGAAGGTACCTTCTATGAGCCAGACAGCAGGCCCTCACCAGACACCAAATCTGCCGGCACCTTGGTCTTGGACTTGCCAACCTCCAGAACCATGAGTAGTAAAATTTTTTTGTTTATAAGATACCCAGTTTATGGTATTTTGTTGTAGCAGCCCAAAGGGACTAAGGCCCAGGGCATGGTAGGCTCTCAGTGACAGCCTTTTACTATTCTCTAAGTGAGTCACCCAATGGTCCAGACGAAAGTTCTCTTGGCTTTCCCAGTGCTGATGAGGAGTGAGGGTTACTCCCTCAGATATCCCTAAGGTTTTCTTTGTAGTTCTAAGCTGAGATCAGATGATGTTGAGAAGAAAAGGTTCTTCAGGAGGAGGAGCCAGCAGGCTTACCTGGAAACGATAAAAGGTACCATCATCCTTCATGGTGAGAACATGGTCCGAGATTGGAAAGATGTAGCCCTGGGCAGCGATAAGGCTTCCCAAGTGTATTGCTTCAACTGTAAGAACAGTGCATAGAGAGAGAAGGAATTAGGAAGCAGGTTATTTGGCTGAAAATTAAGCTGGGAGATCAGAAGTCAACTGTCATCACCCCTAGATGACTGTGTTGATGACATGATTGCCCTTGCTCAGTGTGGGGGTGAGGAGGGGAGATGCCAATGGCTGGAAAGGGCCACTGTGTGTCTGGGACTTGAGTGAATCCCACCTCCAAGAGTCTGACATTGCTTCACCTCTCTCTACCCTGACCTTCAGAAGAAAGTCTGGCTTCAGGGTCAAGGGCATAAATTCTGGCATAGATGAACGTGTATTTAACTGAGATACATGAAGTTATTAGCAGTGTCTGGTACAGGTCAAATACTCCATAAGTGCTGGCAGCTCTGATTCATATCAGTTTCATCATCCCCAGCAGTAAGAATGCAGCCTCACTACCCATAGGGACATAGGTCTCCCACTGCGTTCCCCAGTATGACAGTCCCATCAGGGATGAGAGGGGTGTTACCCTTCTCTTATGGACAGAGAGGAAAACCTCACTTCCTTTGAAAATTAGAGGAGGGACACTGAAGTGGGCAGTGACAGAGAGAGGCCAGCCTGATAGAAATACTTATATTTTTGCCACAGTCAATCTGTTCCTTTGTTCCTTTAGCACCAGCCATAAATAGATGCACATAGGAAGTTGAGAATATAGGTTGGGCATGGTAGCTCAGGCCTGTAATCCCAGCACTCTGGGAAGCCGGGGTAGGCGGATTGCTTGAGCTTAGGAGTTTGAGAACAGCCTGAGCAACATAGCAAGACCCTGTCTCAACTAAGAAATTTTAAAAAAAAGGTTAAGAATTTAGATTTATCCTGAGCAGAGCTAAGAAAAAATAACAAACCTCAATGCTTCTACCACAAAAAGTAATCTTTCACAAATCCAAAAGTACTGTTACAGGTTAAGACTAATTTTTGTTAATGTGCTCAGGGAGTCTCTAGCAATTATTAATTTCATGAGCTCTGACTTTTTAAAGTAGTTTGTTTTGGCTTTACTTGCAAATTTTTCAAGAAGTTGAATACAATGCAATGTTTTGCTTATTAAGGACCACCTATTCTCCTTTGAAAGAAACATACATGTAACTGGTGGAATTAGAATGAATGGAGTTTTATTTTACTTACTTAGTGATGACAAATTTGCTATTATTATTATTTTTTTTTCAGAGACAGGTCTCACTCTGTCACCAAGGCTGGAGTGCAGTGGCACGATCACAGCTCATCGCAGCCTTAAACTCCTGGGTTCAAGTGATACTTCTGCCCCAGCCTCCCAGGTAGCTGGAACCACAGGCACATGCCACCACATCTGTCTAATTTCTTTTATTTTTACATTTTTTTTGTAGAGGTAGGGTCTTGCCATCTTGCTCAGGCTGGTCTTGAACTCCTGGGCTCAAGGAATCCTCCCAGCTCAGCCTTCCAAAGAGCTGGGATTACAGGCATGAGCTACCATGTCTGGCCAGTTTGCTTTTTAAAGTCTATAAGCTTCAAGAACCATGAGTCCAGCTAGAACAGAAGTTTCATCATCAGCAGCTGCTCCTTCCCCATAGGAGAAAGAACAAAATCCTGTAGGAAGGTGACTTTCATGCCACCAGTCTTGGAGCTAAGACTCTACCTTCATTCTCTGAGCAAAAATGTTTTTGCTTAGACATTGGCAATGGGGCCAGGTGCGATGTCTCACACCTGTAATCCAAGCACTTTGGGAGGCCAAAGCAGAAGAATTGTTTGAAGTCAGGAGTTCAAGACCAGCCTGGATAACACAGTGAGATCCCATCTCTACAAAAAATAAAACAAAAAATTAGCTGGGTGTGATGGTACGAGCCTGTAGTCCCAGCTACTTGGGAGACTGAGGTGGAAGATAGCCAGGGAGGTCAAGGCTGCAGTGAGCTATGCTCGTGCCACTGCACTCTAGCCTGGGTGACAGAGTGAGACCCTGCCTCAAAAAACAAAAAGTAACCACAGGAAACTGGCTGATGGGAAGAAGAAACGAGAGAGGGGCAGACGCTGGATCTGGCTGTTTCCCAAGGCCTTGGTTTGCCTCATCTCCCCGCTTCTATTCCCAGTTGACAAATTGTTCTTAGCTCCGCTCCTCCTCAGCCACTTCTCAGAAGCCCAAACAGGCCCCAATACCATGGTGTCTTCCCAAGGGCATCAGAGTATAACAGATTTTCATAGAAATAACTCTCATCATTCAGGACTCTTCACAGAAGCTTCTCACGCCAGGGCTGGAGGATTCCTGAAGCTCATTCTCACATACTGCTAGCCAATTTAGGGTTCTCATTATAGCAATAATAAAATATATATCAGGAACACAATGGTTATTTTAGGAGGCAAAGAAGCCAGTGCTCTTGGAAGAGAAAAGGCGGCCATGAGGAAATACGTTCCTTAGTTTAGCATTATAATCACAGGAAATACTGACTTTAAATACATGTAACTAAACAGGTAGATGCTGATCCAGTCCAGGCTCTCCAGAGGACTCAGAGGTCCAGGCTGCATCAGAGACAACATATAGGGAGTGGCTTTGGGTTCTATCCCTTACATAGGGTTAGCATTTATAGTTTTTCCCCCGTGAATCAAGAACTTGACTACAATTAAGACTTTTCGCTAGTTGTGAGCGTAGCCACTAATGAAGCGGGTGAAAAGACTCAGGTCACTTCTATGAATGATCTGCTTTCTGGCACTCAGAGTTCTAACAACTGTATATAATTAAACTGCATAGAAACTGTATTGTTTTGCAGGCAACAGCAGATTAGAAATGTTGGGTTAAAACACAGGAGTGCCAAGCTGACACACTGATTCCCGCAGGAAATCACAGCTGAAGGTCACAGATCCAGAATGGGTACTTGAAAAAAATCTTCAAAAAGCATTGTGGTTCAGGGCCATTTAATTTGGGGCAGATAAGTTTAATCACGCCAATGTCCATTAAGAACATCAGAGTGTATTAGTGGATCTTTATAAATGTGACCTTCAGGCATCAAGAATACTCAGTTAATCAAGGCGAAGGAGTATGTAATAAATTCAGAAAAGTATTAACTAATAGCACATGGGAATAAGCTTTACTTATCTTGAATTTTTATTTTTCTGGAACACCCCCCCCCCCATTTCCTAATTACGCTGTGAAAATAAATTTTACTCTCTATTTTCTGGTGGGAGGACAGATTGGAAAATTGTTTTATTGGCCAGGGTTTTGTTGTTGTTTTTCTGGTAAGGACTTCCTAATTGAAATGCACAATTAAAGTTGAAAGAAACATCATTCCTTCACTTCTTGCAGAAGCAGAAAACAGAGGGAGTCTTAGCAAATAATTAAACATTTTAATTGTGGATCAGGCAATCTAATTTTAAGAGCTGTCTCTAGAAGGCTGTTCAGTGACAGTGCTACAACTTATCTTTAATTGCTGCAGCTAACGAGAATTCAACTCATTTCACACATTATTGTACGGGGCTCTTTGGCATTCTAAATAGTTGCTCATTTCCTCAAAGCGTGATTTAAATTTACAGACAAATATTCAGGAGAAAATAATTTTATTTGTAAATAGAATGATTCCACATCTTGGAACTCGCATTTACAAGACCAGCTCTCAGGAGGGTGGGAGAATCTAGTCTGGAACTTGGTTATGGGATGTTTTACTGATACCAGGGGAGAGAAGGGCAGGGTCAAAGGTCAAGTACCTGGGTCCTCAATGGAAAGGTTCTTCATAAGCCACTGCACGACGTCAGTACCTGCAACGACAAAGCAGTTTCAGCTGAAGACCTCCTGGGTGTTTAACACTGTGGCAGAAGAAACATGTTTACCTAAGAGAATCCTAATTCCAATCAGTCCACACTGTAGAGCAGGATAATATGGACACTTTTTTTGGTCCTAACCAACCCTTTCCATTCTTCAGTACACTTCCATAGTTACAATTCCATTCTCGTCCAAAAAACACTCACTTCTGATGATGCAGGATGAGCTTGTATTCACATTTCTAGGCAGTGTCTATAGAGGACTTCCCGAGACATGCTAGGTGAAGCTTTATCATGCCTGGCCCCCAGACCATTTCTTGAAGAAGGAGGCCTCTTCAGCTCCCTACCGTCAAGTACAAGGGCTGACCAACACAGGTGACCTCATAGGTTCTTGCAAAACTCTCATCTCTTTTGGCACAGGCCTATCCTGAATGAATGTGCCCCTGCATTCGTGGCAGAAACGTCTATGTATTCACCAAGACCTCTTTCCTCTCCTCACTGTGCCACAGCTAGATTACATTTCCAGACTTCCCTGCACTTAGATCTGGACTGAGTTCTACCCATAGAATGTGGGTAGAAATGGCATATGCCACTTCCAGACCTGGACCATAAAAACTCCTACGTGGGTCTCCATAGCTCTGGCCCTTTCAATCGCATCTGCTGGCTGGATGTAAAGACAGTAGGGAGGGAGTCATGGTTCCAGCCATGGACATTATGCCCATGTGGGGCTCTGACTTGATGAGGAATAAACTTTGTAGTGTTCAGCCCCTGAAACGTGGGACTTAGCTGTTTCGATAACTAGTATTACCTTAATGAATATAAATCTTAACAGTCTGAAGTAACTTTTAAAGCTTGTCTACTCCAACCCTAGCCAATACACAAGTCCCATTCACAACACCCTGGACAAGAGATGCTGTAACCTGTGTTTAGAATGCCTAGTACCTGGGAACTCACAAACTTCCCCCTACCCAGCCTGACCCAGTTAAATCAGCCTTGATTTATCTGAACAGAAACTTGCCCCTCTCTGACTTCCTCCCTTGGGCCTCAGTTTTGCCCTTTGATGACAGAAAAACAAACCCCAACCTAACCACTCTGTGCGACAGCCCTTCAGCTATTTGGACAGTTCTGCAGCATACCAGCGACGTCCTCCCTCCAAGTGCAACAGGCCCGGGTCCCTCAGCTGCTTCCTTGCATGGCCTGGACTGGAGTTCCTCACCATATGTTCCCAATCCTCTGAATATGTTCTCTTCTGTCTGCCTGTCTTTGAAAATATGACCCACAAATGATGTTCTGAGAGCAGCCCTGTGTACACGGGAGTAGAGGAGTCCAGTTTTCTGGAAGGTTCTGAATTTCTGGTCAACCTACCTTTGCCACCCAAAGATCTCATTTTAAACCAGTGCAGACCATTGAAGGTGTGACTTTGTCACCTCTGAATTGTTTGATGGAACACAGCCTGCAAGGGAAGACATTTCTAGACATCAGAGTCCTACCGTGGGTCTGAGGCTTTGGTCCGAGGGAGGGGATGTGCCAAGGACTCTCCTGGGCTGGATGCCTGACTGAAGGCCTGGGGATCCAGCCGAGGGGCTTCATGAGGATTGCCCTCTTCCCAGAGAGCAGATTTCTTAGATATGTGACTGGTGGCCAGAAGTGGGACTGGTACGGGACAGGGAGCCTAGACATTTTGTTTCTCTCTGGGTCCGTGGCAGGTGAAGTAACCCTGCACAGTGGGACCCCCAGGGCCATCCTGGTCCTCCTGTGTGCCCCATTTCCACCGACACAGCCTTGCAATTTTGCAGTTTCCCTGCGTCAACCTCAAAGGCAGCACTTCTAGGCTTCTCCTCACTCTTACTGCTCCTGGACGGCATCTGTGAGTTAAACTTTAGATCAAAAACATTCCTATTCATTTGGATTTAGAGAGAGAGAATGAATAGGTGTGTGTACATGTGCCTGTGTGTCCCTTTCCTCCAAATTCTACAAGTTCAACATTTGTCCCAGGAAATGAAGAACAAAGCAGAAATCAAATAAGAACCGTAGCCCCAAGCTGGGGGTGGGAGAGAGACTCGAACCTGTTTTTTCCTCAAAAGAAAAATAGTTCTGGCCGGGTGCAGTGGCTCATGCCTGTAATCCCAGCACTTTGGGAGACCGAGGTGGGCGGATCACAGGGTCAGGAGTTCGAGACCATCTTGGCCAACATGGTGAAACCCCGTCTCTACTAAAATACAGAAAATTAGCCGGGCGTAGTGCCATGTGCCTGTAGTCCCAGCTTCTTGGGAGGCTCAGGCAGGGGAATTGCTTGTACAGGGAAGGAGGAGGTTGCAGTGAGACGAGATCATGCCTCTGCACTCCAGCCTGGCCACAGAGTGAGTCTCCGTCTCAAAAAAGAAAAAAAAAAAAAGTTCTTTTTAGTGGGTTGCCTAGAAACTGCGAGGTTTCCTGCATTAGCTGAGCTCTCCCCCAGGCCTGCGGATTATCTTTCTGCTGAGCTTGCCGAACCATTATTTATCACCTGCCAAGATTGATTACTCACCCTGGGACAATGACAGCCCTTCCTTTCCCCTGTTAATTACTGTCATCATTAATATCCATGTCACTAATTAGTATTCATTCACATTGAAACTCCTTCCTTGCTATCATATCCGCTCCCCCCACCACCCCAACCCCCGGCTCAGCACCATGGTCTGGGTTTCTACCCCCTTTTGGTTTCCTGTGCTCAGTCTTTGGCCTAATTGTTCTCCCTGGTCCACCAGGCCCTGGTTTGCATTGATAGAGCTAAAGGATCACATTTAAGCACTTTTGTTTCTAAAGAAGGGAAAATCACAAAAACCCATTTCCTTTTTCCCTAGCTCCGTGGAGACCAGAGTGGAGTTTCTTTTCCCTGGTTCAGCCACCAGGACAGCTGCTATCTCATCTGGGGGCTGACGCAACAGTCCTCAGGCCCAGGCAAGGGCTCAGCGGCCGCCCCGGCTGCCTGGGACACTGCACTCCATCTGCAGTGGCATCCACTCTGCCACATGGCAGTGCTTGCTAGGCTTCATCTCAGCACAAGTGGCAACACCTAGAGACAAGGGACACGCTCACTCTCAAGGGCGTTGGATATTCCAGGCTTCCTTGGACCAACCCAGGAGCTGCCAAGCCTCCAGCCTGTGGCAGGCAGTAAACCATTGTGTGTTCACCCCCAGGAACAAGTCAGAAAGGGAAATCTGTCATAATGTTGCATCCTTTGAAACATTTACAGTGATTACGCTGTAGCATCTGACAAGAGTACTCCAAACATCCACATCCCCAGCAGGAGAAAGCATTTCCATTCTTCTTTTTTCACTTTCCTTTCTTGCCTCTTTCCTTCCTTCCCACTAACCCACAATCACACTTTCCTTCCTGTTCTAAAGAGAATCTGAAGCAGATTCCTTTTCTGTTCTATCTAAAATTAATTGTTGCCTTGTTACCATGATCGGTTTCTGGATCTTATCTTAGTCAAGCCGCTTTGCCAAGGACGTAAAGTCAATAAAACAACATAACAAATGCTATGTTGAAACAACATAACAAATGCAGGACGGCCACCCTTTATTCCTACAGATCCTAAAACACGGTCTGGAAGCTTTCTTTTTGAGGCTGATTTATCAATATATATTCCAGGGATATCCACGAAATACACCAGAGGGCACCCAAAACACCTCTCCATTGCATGCATATTTTATTAGTATATTTAAGGATGTATTTATGATATGCAGTTATGGGTTATGTTTCTATATGTGTTATATGTATTTCAATTATGTCTTCTATATCTAAAATCATGTTTATTAGATGACTGGGACCAAACCAAAAGGCCTCTAATAGGCGATTGAATAAATTATGGCTTATTCATGCAATAAATATTTATTAAACAACTACAGTGGAAAAGCATCTTGAGAACAGGGTGTACTATAAAATATTTATGTTGTATTAATTATATATGTGTAGATATCTATAAATATGGAGAAGAAAAATTCTGGATATAGATTTAAATTGTTAACTTTAGGTTACTTTGGGGAGGGGAGGCATCAAATAATGGGAAATTTCTATTCTTTACATGTCTGTATTATTTATAGTTCATAGAACATTCATATAATACTTTTACACTAGAAAAATAATTTTATTTTAAAGAGCATAGAGAGAAGAAAGAGGTGGCCTCTGAGGCCAAAGTGGAGATGCTATGGGTAACTCTGGACGGCCTCTGGCTATCCTCAAGTCCTGGTCATTTCCTGCTCTCTGGGGAAAGGGTCAGGAGACTCAAAGCTGTCTTTTTCCTGAGGGGTTAACAGTGGGAGGCTCAATCCTGAGGCTCAATAGTGTGCCTCCAATTGGCCACTCTCTGGCCATCTGCCACTCCTGGAGCCTCAGAGTGACCTTTATAGACTCTGACAGGGCTGTCCACCCAGAGTCTTGGCCTAAGGGTGACAACCTGCACCTCTCCTCTGTGTTTGTTAAGCTTATTTACTCGGGGGACAGTAAGACATAGTGATCTTTTCCTGGTGCCTTTCCATGCTGAATTAACTCTATTGAGTAAGCTGGTGAGGGGTTTCTGTTTCTGGTTTCAGGCAGACACTCATAAAATTCAAGGCTTTGCCTTCAGGTGTTTTAAGCTCCTCAAAAACTGTAGCATTTGACAGAGATACTTTCCTCCCATTAATGCATCAGAACCCCAGGAGATCCTAGTATGAAACACTCCTCCAATTCTTCCCAAAGCATTCTATCAATCTGAACCCAGATAAGATTATGCAAAGTTGATAAAAAGACTGGTTCCCATCACCTGCAAATTTCCAGTAACTTGAAACCTGGTGGATTATACAGTACATCATAGTACTGATAAATGAAGCAATTCATAAACTAATTATCAATCTTGACTGTTGGGGAAAGACACTTTCTTTTGAGTAAAATGTTTCTGGAGCCATATGAATGATCAGATGGTTCCTGCCATGAGTGAAGTAGCCATACTCCTCAGTCAAGGTTATGACTTGGTC